ACGTAGATGAATCACAAATTTAAACTTCTGCGTACTATTTTTATATAGTCTGTATGAATTCTCCAAAGTCTAATCTCTCTATTGCAGCATTAAGTCTTTTATGAATCTGTATGTTGTTGTTTGTTTGTTCACTGTCTGTGTTGTCTTCTCCTTTAAAGCACAAGAAAACTTTTTTCAGTTATACAAAACAGCTCTATGAAACTGTAGATTTCAGAGGAAACCAAACATGAAGCTTTCAATGTTTGCTTCAACTATTGTGAGCTGTAAGTTATTTAAAAACATCATGTGGTTGTTCAATGTTGTCTTTTAATCTTAACTGTATGATAAAACTCAGACTGACAAACTCACACTGTCCCTTTAAGAGAATTCATCACATGCGTGAGGGCAGCATGGTAACCCCTCCCTATTGCTCAACTCCACTCTGTGCACATTTCCTGTTCCCTCTCTTCACTAATATACAAGTTCAAGATGGTGTAACCAACAAGTGAGCTCCCCAGCCCGTGCAGCGTGGATCAGCAAATGAGCAGCGACAAAAGGACACTGAGGTATTTTTTGTCGGTGTACTACTTTACTACATATCAAATTCTTCCATTACTTGTAATCAAACGACTGTTTTAAGGGGAGGCTTTTCAAGTTAAGGCAAAAGTAGGAATCAGTAGGTTTGTATTTGAAACAGGATTATGACTTTAATTTGATTTGAAGTATGTTTAAAGACAATATCAATGATCTGCTTCAACCATCAGTTTGACCATCTGATAGACAGAAACAAGGAATAAAGGTCAGGTCAGTGTATTTAATCCAGTATGTGAACCACCAGTATGTGAAAACACCTCTTCCAATGCTGGTGAAGTTCAGTAGAACTCTGACGCCTCCCTGTGGTGTCTCAGATTTTCACAGCTTGTAATGCTGGTGCTCACAGGTAGCTCCGTTCTGACAGTAGTTGTAAAACATGTTCAGTTATTCTCTGTGTTTTATTCACTTCTTTTTACATGTTAAGAAATGTGTGACTAGAGTTTTTTACATGCTTGCTTATAGAGTTTTCTTCCATGTAACAGAGAGTGGTTATGTATTCATGTTGAGAATCTGCCCTGTCAGAGGCATGAAACATGAATCAGAGATTGGTAACCCCTCCCTCTTCTTCCTCCTATCACACACAGCCAGCTTCACTCTGACATTTATTTTCTTGTTCTCTCCCTTTTAGATCTACAGTTTGAGGATGAGTGTAACCAACATGTGGGACGGTGCAAGAGCAGATACTGAACAAACACATGCTGTTTAGATGAGAGGTTAAACTAGTTTGATTTCTAAGAAGTGAAACTCAGACAGTCGTTGTTACAGAGAGGAGAAATGGCGCAGAAAGGAGTTCAACTAGACCGGGAGGCCTTCTCTTGTTCCATCTGTCTGGATCTCCTGAAGGATCCGGTTGCTATTCCCTGTGGACATAGTTACTGTATGAACTGTATTAAAAGCCATTGGGATAAAGAGGATGAGAAGACAATCTACAGCTGCCCTCAGTGTAGGCAGACTTTCACACCAAGGCCTGTTCTGGTGAAAAACACCATGTTGGCAGTTTTAGTGGAGAAGCTGAAGAAGACTGGACTCCAAGCTGCTCCTGCTGATCACTGCTATGCTGGACCTGATGATGTGGCCTGTGATGTCTGCACCGGGAGGAAACTGAAAGCCTGTAAGTCCTGTCTGCAGTGTCTGGCCTCTTACTGTGAGAAACATCTTCAGCCTCATTATGAACTACCTGTCTTCAAGAAACACAAGCTGGTGGAGCCCTCCAAGAAGCTCCAGGAGAACGTCTGCTCTTGTCATAATGAGGAAATGAAAGTATTTTGTCGTACTGATCAGCAGTCTATCTGTTATCTCTGTTTAATGGATGAACACAAAGGTCATGACACAGTCTCAGCTGCAGCAGAAAGGAGCGAGAAGCAGAGAGAGCTCGAGGTGAGTCGACAAAACATCCAGCAGAGAATCCAGGACAGAGAGAAAGATGTGAAGCTGCTTCAACAGGAGGTGGAGGCTATCAATGGCTCTGCTGATAAAACAGTGGGGAACAGTGAGAAGATCTTCACTGAGCTGATCCGTCTCATGGAGAAAAGCTGCTCTGATGTGAAGCAGCAGGTCAGATCCCAGCAGCAAACTGAAGTGAGTCGAGTCAGAGAGCTTCAGGAGAAGCTGGAGCAGGAGATCACTGAGCTGAAGAGGAAAGACGCTGAACTGGAGAAGCTCTCACACACAGAAGATCACAACCAGTTTCTACACGACTACCCCTCACTGTCACCACTCAGTGAATCTACACACTCATCCAGCATCAAGATCCGTCCTCTGAGGTACTTTGAGGATGTGACAGCAGCTGTGTCAGAAGTCAGAGATAAACTTCAGGATGTCCTGAGAGAGAAATGGACAAACATCTCACAGACAGTGAGTGAAGTGGATGTTTTACTGTCAGAACCAAAACCAGAGCCCAAGACCAGAACTGAGTTCTTAAAATATTCATGTGACATCACACTGGATCCAAACACAGCACGCACACAGCTGTTATTATCTGATGAGAACAGAAAAGTAACAGCAATGAGAAAAGAACAGTCTTATTCTAGTCACCCAGACAGATTCACTGGTAGGTGTCAGGTCCTGAGTAAAGAGAGTTTGACTGGACATTGTTATTGGGAAGTGGAGTGGCGAGGAAGAGGAGTTTATGTAGCAGTCACATACAAGAATATCAGCAGAGCAGGGGGCTCAGATGAATGTTGGTTTGGACGTAATGACAAGTCTTGGGCGTTAGATTGTTACAACAACAGTTATGACTTTTGGTACAACAATGTCAGGACTCCTGTCTCAGGTCCTCGGTCCTCCAGAGTAGGAGTGTACCTGGATCACAGAGCAGGTATTCTGTCCTTCTACAGCATCTCTGAAACCATGACTCTCCTCCACAGAATCCAGACCACATTCACTCAGCCTCTACATGCTGGACTCTGGATTCAACATTTTGAAGAATCTGCTGAGTTTTGTAAGCTGAAGTAGACAGAAGTCATTAGGGGACAATGTGTTAACATCTGTGTTTTTTTTCCATGTTTCTACAGAAAGCTGATTATACTTTTCTTCACTGCACTCGCATACTACGGTACTTTGACGAAACCAGTAAAGCCAAATTTCTTGATTTCAATATCATATGTGGACGTAGGACATTCCTCTGACCAGTCCCTCTCGTTTTCCTTGCACCACAGCAGACATGGATCTCAGGCATTCTGTTAACCTTTCACCCTCGCACGTACACACACAGCCTGTTCTGAGCAGGGCTGAAATAGAGGGGTTTATAGACATGATCAAATACAGGATCAGAGTGGATTTAGAACAAGAAACTTCACAGACATGTTTTGTGGAGCTCTGAGACTTATTTAAACATGTTGAAGAGGAGGAGAATATGTGACCTTTAATTCATGAAGGTTGTCAGTGCTAGTGATGACTTTTGTTCTCTTATCTGTGCTGTATCACTAACCATCTGCTATTTGTAATGATGTAAAGTTTTGAATAAATTTGCATATAAAACTATAATTCATTTGTTTAGCTGAAGTAGACAGAAGTCATTAGGGGACAATGTGTTAACTTGTGTTTTTTTCCATGTTTCAACAGAAAGCTGATTATACTTTTCTTCACTGCACTTGCATACTACGGTACTTTGACGAAACCAGTAAAGCCAGATTTCTGGATTTCATAGATTTCAATATCATATGTGGACGTGTGACCTTCCTCTGACCTGTCACTTAGAGCCCACTAGTTTTCTTTGCACCACAGCAGACATGGACCTGAGTATAAGCATTCTTTTAACCTTTCACCCTTTCACACGTGCACACGCACGTCTTCAAAAGAATAAGGTAAACAGAAGTTTGCTCCTTCTCTACATTTAAAGGCACAGACACAGAAACAGCCTGTTCTGAGCAGGGCTGAAATAGAGGGGTTTATAGGCATGATCGAATACAGGATCAGAGTGGATTTAGAACAAAAGACAGACAAGTTTGAGACTTATTTAAACATGTTGAAGAGGAGGAGAATATGTGAACCATCGACTATTTGTAATGATGTGAAGTTTTGAATAAATTTGCAAATAAATCTATGGTTCATTTGTATAGATTTCTCTGTCAGACCAAATTAGCAGTAACCCCCCCCCCCCTAAAATTGATAGAAAAATGTACAATGAGGTATCATGAACATGAAACATGAAATATCATAATCTACAAACATCATAACACAATACCAATCAAAAAGCACAGAGGCTGAAGGCCGCAGGAATTATTATCAGACCAAAAAAGTGATGAAGAATATGTTTTTATGCTCCTGATATGTGGAAGACACTGCATCTGAAAATCAAAGTAACAAAGTCTATGAATAATACAATTTAAAACAACGTAAGACCTATCTTTTGAAGGGCTTGGTTGTTCCGATGACCAATTCAAGAATCTTTTAAAAACACAATTTGAAAGCATGCATCAGGTTCATTAAAATGTGAGATTTGTATTCATGTTGGTTTTGTGTTTTTTAAAATGACATTTAAATCTTTTTTTTCAAAAGGTAAGACTAAAAATGTCAAGTAGTGTAACCACTGAAAAATTAAGAATATTTTATATTTTATACATCTAGAGTATATGTAAGTGTACTCATGATTGTAATTACTTCATTTTAAAATAGCACAAGAAAATAGATTTTATTAGGATTATCCCTAAATTCATAAATTATGCCCTTTTTCAATACTGAGCGGGGCACAAAGCTGAAAACACCTCTGTTTTCTAATTAACTTTTGGCAAATTATGTAAAAATTGTTAAAAAAAACATGTTATTTCACTGCAATAGAGGACTACTTTAATTCCACTTTAATTTCCTTGTATTTTATTATAATTTTTACAAGAAATACTGGTTACACCAATTGACGCAAACCAGTTACACCAACTGACCATACTGCTTCTACAGTCAAAGGCCATTGTTTCTTGAAGAAATTGTTGTTAGCTTCCTCCATTTAATGTTTGCTCCACCTACCAAAGTGCACAGAATACCAGTACGCTGATGACAGTAATGTAGCACATTTGTCTTAAACACAGAATAGTATAAAACTGAAGTGAATAGATCTGCCTTTTGGATGGGTCTCATAGATCGGCAAATTCTTACTGATACCTGATCTGGCTGTCTTAGTCAGGATCGGTGCATCCTTAATTAATTCATATTTTAAGTAAATTACAACATCTGATCAAAATCTTCAGGGGGAATTAATTTCTTCAGTATTTGGAATAAACTCAAGGTACTTGTGCCCTAATCAAAGGATAACATACCCAGAGGCAACACTTTACATCTCTCCTTCTTTACATCATGGCCATCACAGCCCAAACAGCATTGCCACCTTCTATAGTACCAGACTTTGGCTGGCAAGCTCCAGGTAGCGACACGCTGATACTACCTACCACATGGCCCCTAATAGCCGACACATCTAAAATGCAACTACTGGTGCCAATATTACAGCATACAAACATTTATTAGATCATACATGTTTAAAGGTGCACTATGTAGATTTGGTGGTGAAATTTGAAAGTTGGAGAAGTGAAACAATTCTTTGATATATTTTCTGAATTGAATACGCAAACTTCATTCAAAGTAAAAAATGGGTCCCTGGAACACTGTTTGGAGATATAAAGCTACCAGGAGAGTTACGCTTTCACTGTTGCGGGCCCACCACCATAACTTCTCCAGTAGCATTTTATCTTCAAACAGTGTTACAGGGACCAAATTTTCATCTGAGGACAGTTTGTGTTTAGAGTTATGATGGACATATACCACATAATCTGTAAATATCTCCAACTTTCACACTTCTCTACCAAAACTACATAGTGCACCTTTATAAATGTAAGTAAATGGAACACAAATATGCAATTTTAAGCTAAACATTTACAAAATGCCAGGATATTTTGTCCTAGACCCTTGATAATAAGGTTGTGGATGGATAACCACTTTAATCAACATAAAAAAATACTGATATTTGACAAAAGTGGCCTCTAACAGAACGGCTTGTCATAAATGTCAAATAGTGTAACCGGTTACACCATCTGACATTTCCACTTCAAATCAAATTTGACAGGCATTATCATTGAGACCTATGTAAGCACATTTCCTGGTGTGAACATTTCAAATCTAATTTTCGAAGTGAATACAAATTTTTATAATTATCATAAATTGTTAATGTTTTTCTGAGGTCATACCATTTGACATACCTGACCACGCCCTTAAAATGTCAAATTATCTCATGTTTTAAAGAGAGTTGCTAAACATGGCGTGCAGCAGTTAGGACCATCAGGGGTTCTTCTTTGTGATATCATTTATTGTCACATGATATGATGAACATATTAACTAAATGGCTCCTTCAATGGTGGTTACACCATGTTGACAATTTGGTACTTGACTGGGTGACACGATTTCCCTAAAATAATTATAATAATAAGACCAATGATGTTCCATCACTTTTGTTTACTATTGAACAGTTCTATTGTAAGATTATGCCAGGCTAGTTCATAGGGTGTTATATGAAAATTTAACCTTTTATTAAAGCAAGTTTACTTCTTTTGTACAAAGTTTCAATGGTTACACCACTTAGACATTTTGGCCTAAATACCCCAAATATTCTCTAAAAATGTATAATAAATATAAATTTTAGACTAGGTCCTCAAAACAAAGGATGAAAGCATGTCATCTGTGCATTTATTTTTAGATTTTGAGCCTTTAAAAGTTAACTAAACCTTATGGACACAAAAAAATGAGCATCACTTCATTGACCCATAAACCATTTATTCAAAGTTCACATTTATAAAAGGCGTATTGACACATTTCCAAAGCCTGACACATGAAAAAATAACCAGAAAATTCTATTCTTTTGGAATTGAGATGTTTATTAAACCCTTAAACAAAATCCCCCAAAAATTTTTTGTCATATCATGTTGTTTATGATATTTTTTTTGTAGCACATTTGATACATCAGGCGTTTTTGGCAATTTTTTGCACACATTTCAGGAAGCTTTTCTCGTTGTTTTTTTTAACATAACACTTTTTACAGCCTTTTTAGTTTAACATTTTGAAAATACAGAACATTTCAAACAGTTCTTCTTGTTTTTTTAACATAACACTTTTTACAGCCTTTTTATTTTAACATTTTGAAAATACAGAACATTTCAGGCAGTTTTTCTCATTTTTTTAACATAACACTTTTTACAGCCTTTTTATTTCATTTTGTGGTAGGCACAAAAACAGTTTCTGTCCTTGTTCAGGCAAAGATGCACCTTACACTTCTCACAGTAGACATGTGAGAAGTGATTGCCAGTGCAGTGCTTGCATCTCTGTCGGGTTTCCCATGTTGGAAAATGATCAATGCCATCCCTTCTCACATCAAGAGGCACACTGCAGCTTGGTCTTTTACGGGGTGGTGTTGGAGTCTCTTCTGGAGAGGATAGTGGTCTGCCACACCTGATTTTGGCCTTTCCTGCGCTTGTCAGAGAAGTGCCAACCAAAGCCTGAAACCTTCGCAGAGGCATGGGTTTCTTCTTGGGGTTTAGCTTCTTCTGGTCTCTTCTGTAGAGGTTCCACGCATTGATGACTGCCACTGTAACAGTGTGCCACCAGATGTACATGTACCATCTTCAGGATCTGAAGCTGAACTTGTAAAGTGCAGACAGCATATCAAGGAGATCAGCACTCCCATGAACTTGTTGGATTTTGGATTATGACTTCAATCTGAGGTGAAGTATGTTTAAAGACAATATCAATGATCTGCTTCAATCATCAGTTTGAGCATCTGATAGACAAAAACAAGGAATAAAGGTCAGGTCAATGTATTCCTCACATGTTTCATCTGTGGAGCGACATATTCAACAAGTACGTCCTCCATCACTTCTTATAAACTGAGAGAAAATGTGTCCTGAAATTCGAGGAGGCTGAGAAGACAGCTCATATTTATCTTTTTTTTTTTTTTCACTACAGCCCCCACTTTGACGAGGTGGAGCGCCTGAGAGTGCTGGTGATGATGTCAGCACAGGAGTTAGCCAATGGGATCTCC